AGTATAGTTAGGATTCATGCACGATTTCTAATTAGCTTCTTTTTTGGCTCAGAGTACTTGATAAGTGTTTATGCTTTAACATCCTTGCATGTGTGTAAGTGACTGCCATGATAACATGCTTACCATGAGGCTATGTGCTTATATGATATAACTGCCTGAATACCTGTGAGTGAAGGTTAGGTTGCTTGAGTTGGAATAATTCGTCGAAACCCGTGTTTTAGCCTACTTGCAAGTAGCAAACTTCAATCTATTTTCAAAATAATCGGATATGCGATACTCTGTTCCAACTTAGGCAATCAGGTCTATACTTGTATGCTGTGGGCATCACATAGTAATTCTAGGCTAATAAATGGAATAAGAGCACATGCGTTTTCAAAAATAAGATATCATGCTTAGTAGTGACCGATCTTTGATCGGGTGAGCGGGAGTACTCATGAAATGACCTTCCCCAATTGTACCCAAGTTCCCGAGCCGAGACAACTTTGGTGATGACGGACACATGGCCTTAGGCACGAGTCAGGGTTTCCTAAATTTTTCCAAAATAAAATATTTAGGTGGCGACTCTGTATCTGGCAAAGCAGTCCATGTTTGGCACTTCTTTCTAAAAATCAGTTTTTCAAAACAATTTACCGAATTTGGACTCTTTAATGATTTATCGGTCTTGCATTGCACTCTGCGAGATTAGATACAGAACCGTGACATTGAGTCCAAACTGTAGTAAGCCCCAATGAACAAAACGGGATTCCCTCCCGAGACGTTCTGGGACATCTACAGTAATTATAAGCTTTGAAGGATTAGGAATCGGTTGCTTGCCCTAGGTCGGCCTGTCAAGAGTGAAGATGTTGATTCAGTATTATCATGTTGTTAATAGTTTCGACCAATTATAATTGACGAACTCAATCCAACCAAGTGAGATCTTGAGCTCTGCCTCAAGATTTTATTAACATGGTCCCAAACCATTAAAAACAGGTGTCCTGATGTTAGTTACCATTGCACATTCCATCAAACTGAGGCGCTTGGCTCGATAGGATGCACGCACGCATGCATGCATGCGAGTGAGTCAACTGCACATATCATCTAATATTCATTTTGAAGCTTGTTAATTTTTTAAGTTCAAATTGATCTGTCTATCTATATGCATTACAAAAAAAAATTAAATTTTTCAAACCTTGACTTCTGATTGGCTCAACAAAAATTTATTGAAGATACAAATTTAACACATTCTCACTTCTGATTAGATCAGCAAAAGTTTATTTAAGATAAATAAATTCAATTTCAACACATTTTAAAACTCCTTAAATTTTGACGTCAAATTAGTGTTCTAGTTTAAAGTAGGAATGTTCACGGTTTAGTTACGGTCGGAGAATTTTTAATCCGCCATCCGTTTACCAGATTGGTGGATTAAAAAAAATCAATTCGCATCCATCCTTCAGATTGGCTGATGGATGTGGATTGACAAATGGATACGAAACGGTTTAACAGTTTAAACTTTTACAAATCTTGAATATAATACAACTTGCCAACATTTTTTTTAGAATAATAATTCAACTTAACATAACCAAAAGATTATCCAGTAAATTGTCAAATACCAATAATAAATACATCAACAATGATTCATCTCCCCTTTTCCCACCACCCCCTTTGACCCCCTCTCTCTCTCTCATTGGTTACATTTTCTTTTCTTTTTTTTTTTCCTGTTCCTCCAATCACCACCCGCCACGTGGCAAAGGGAGTGAGGGGGTGACCCAAAAGGGGGTCCGCATTATTCTAAATACATATAAGAAAATCATGCATTATCAAAATTATTTTATTACGTTTTTTTTTATGCAAAAACTATTGAAATTGATTTTTTTTTAAATGACAAAATTAAGCATTATATTTTCTACGCAAAAATACTAAATATCAACACTTACCATTTGATAAAAAGATTTTCAAATTGAAAACAAATTGAAAACACAATAGAATATCTAAACTCTTTTTCAATTGAAAACACAAACAGAATATCTAAACAAATTAAAAATACAAACAGAATATCTAAACAAATTAAAAACACTAAATTTTACAAATTACTAAGAATGCTTTTGGTTTGAAAGTTCAATTGCGACCAAAGGAACCTCAAATCCACCATCCGTTCAAACTAAATAGATTAGAAAAAAAATCAATATACAACCGTTCGCTTGTTATTACGCGTCCGTCCAAAATACAACGGATCGATTCAGTTTGGTCGGTTTGAACGAACCAGAATAAACACTACTCACCCCCAATTTAAAGGACAACAGTTAAGGATGAAGATGCTTGTCCAAAATGAAAGTTTAATCCAATTAAATTGCTTTGACTAATCCAATATCAATCACCGTAATCCTATGTTTGATTGAGAGATTTGAAAAAAGATTAAATATATATATATATATATATAGATGAAGTGTGAATAAAATATATCTTGGTTTTATCTAGTTTCACACACATTTTTCTTTTACTTTTTCAAATCACCCCCCAAATCTCCCAATCAAACACAACATAAGAGGTTGGCTTGGTGGTTAGTCACTTGGCCCTTGGAACCACATCCATAGCCTAAGAGCTATTTTAGGAAGATGGTTACAATCAACTTTTTAATTAAAAGCTGCTAAAAAGCTAATTATAATAAACTTTTTGTGAGAGAGGGAAGTGGCTTATAATCTGAGAAGTGGATTATAACCCACCTCCCAAAAGACCCCTAAGATTTATCTGACTCCCGTAGAGGGACAATTTTTGTGAATCTCAGGATTAGTTGGGGTTTACCAGAATAACAGATTATCAAAAGAAAAAAAACTTTCCTATGCATTACTAAACCCACATTTGCAGCATATATGATCATACTCCATAGTTCTATATCATTTAATCAACAACTAGAAAATTGAAGACAGATATGATGATATCCTATATTAACATTTTAGCTCGTAAACTAATGCTGAACACTGTCAGCTTGAAGAAGACCCTCGCGGATAACGGGATTCCCTCCCGAGACGTTCTGGGACATCTACAGTAATTATAAGCTTTGAAGGATTAGGAATCGGTTGCTTGCCCTAGGTCGGCCTGTCAAGAGTGAAGATGTTGATTCAGTATTATCATGTTGTTAATAGTTTCGACCAATTATAATTGACGAACTCAATCCAACCAAGTGAGATCTTGAGCTCTGCCTCAAGATTTTATTAACATGGTCCCAAACCATTAAAAACAGGTGTCCTGATGTTAGTTACCATTGCACATTCCATCAAACTGAGGCGCTTGGCTCGATAGGATGCACGCACGCATGCATGCATGCGAGTGAGTCAACTGCACATATCATCTAATATTCATTTTGAAGCTTGTTAATTTTTTAAGTTCAAATTGATCTGTCTATCTATATGCATTACAAAAAAAAATTAAATTTTTCAAACCTTGACTTCTGATTGGCTCAACAAAAATTTATTGAAGATACAAATTTAACACATTCTCACTTCTGATTAGATCAGCAAAAGTTTATTTAAGATAAATAAATTCAATTTCAACACATTTTAAAACTCCTTAAATTTTGACGTCAAATTAGTGTTCTAGTTTAAAGTAGGAATGTTCACGGTTTAGTTACGGTCGGAGAATTTTTAATCCGCCATCCGTTTACCAGATTGGTGGATTAAAAAAAATCAATTCGCATCCATCCTTCAGATTGGCTGATGGATGTGGATTGACAAATGGATACGAAACGGTTTAACAGTTTAAACTTTTACAAATCTTGAATATAATACAACTTGCCAACATTTTTTTTAGAATAATAATCCAACTCAACATAACCAAAAGATTATCCAGTAAATTGTCAAATACCAATAATAAATACATATAAGAAAATCATGCATTATCAAAATTATTTTATTACGTTTTTTTTATGCAAAAACTATTGAAATTGATTTTTTTTTTAAATGACAAAATTAAGCATTATATTTTCTACGCAAAAATACTAAATATCAACACTTACCATTTGATAAAAATATTTTCAAATTGAAAACAAATTGAAAACACAATAGAATATCTGAACTCTTTTTCAATTGAAAACACAAACAGAATATCTAAACAAATTAAAAATACAAACAGAATATCTAAACAAATTAAAAACACAAAATTTTACAAATTACTAAGAATGCTTTTGGTTTGAAAGTTCAATTGCGACCAAAGGAACCTCAAATCCACCATCCGTTCAAACTAAATAGATTAGAAAAAAAATCAATATACAACCGTTCGCTTGTTATTACGCATCCGTCCAAAATACAACGGATCGATTCGGTTCGGTCGATTTGAACGAACCAGAATAAACACTACTCACCCCCAATTTAAAGGACAACAGTTAAGGGTGAAGATGCTTGTCCAAAATGAAAGTTTAATCCAATTAAATTGCTTTGACTAATCCAATATCAATCACCGTAATCCTATGTTTGATTGAGAGATTTGAAAAAAGATTAAAAATATCATAAATGATTTAGACCTCTAAAAGAAGCGCTCTAATAGAGCACTAATTTGTCTTTTTCTGCCCTCTTTTTTGTCTTTTACTTTTTTATTTTTATTTTTATTTTTTTTTAATGGTTGACAGCTCATTAGAGCTGTGTATATATATATATAGATGAAGTGTGAATAAAATATATCTCGATTTTATCTAGTTTCACACACATTTTTCTTTTACTTTTTCAAATCACTCCCCAAATCTCCCAATCAAACACAACATAAGAGGTTGGCTTGGTGGTTAGTCACTTGGCCCTTGGAACCACATCCATAGCCTAAGAGCTATTTTAGGAAGATGGTTACAATCAACTTTTTAATTAAAAGCTGCTTAAAAGCTAATTATAATCAACTTTTTGTGAGAGAGGGAAGTGGCTTATAATCTGAGAAGTGGATTATAACCCACCTCCCAAAAGACCCCTAAAATTTATCTGACTCCCGTTGAGGGACGATTTTTGTGAATCTCAGGATTAGTTGGGGTTTACCAGAAAAACAGATTATCAAAAGAAAAAAAACTTTCCTATGCATTACTAAACCCATATTTGCAGCATATATGATCATACTCCATAGTTCTATATCATTTAATCAACAACTAGAAAATTGAAGACAGATATGATGATTTCCTATATTAACATTTTAGCTCATAAACTAATGCTGAACACTGTCAGCTTGAAGAAGACCCTCGCGGATCTGCGAGGCGATATCTTTTACTGCACCAGGCCCATGTGGGATGAAAACTGCTGAGGACTTTGAGTTGGAACCAATTTCCTTCATGGTGTCGAAGTATTGTGTCACAAGCACCATGTCCATGATATCCTTGGCAGTTGTTCCAGGCACATTCTCAGAAAAAGCAAGCACGCTGTCCCTCAATCCATCTACAATAGCTTGGCGCTGCCTGGCAATACCGAGCCCTGAAAGGTATTTAGATTCAGCCTCCCCCTCGGCTCGCTTGATCTGCAATATTTTCTCTGCTTCAGCCTTCTCATTTGCTGCAATCCTCATTCTAGCAGCTGTTGTGATATAATTAAATTACAATGTAAATCATCTCAATTCTCAAACCTAGGTATGATGCATGATGAGTTTCAACATATACCCAAAGATTTCTCCTTAAATCATATTTACATGCAAAAGAATGTGTAAACTACAGGATCTGTCTTTAGTCCTTGTTGAGAGTAGTGATGATAAAGTGTTCTATTAACTTCAATGCTTCTACAATTTGCCAGAGGAGTAATGACAGAAATAAGGTGTCTAAACGATTGACTGAAGAAGCAGAGAAATATTTTGAGGGCTTCATTTCAAATGTTGAAGATACAGATATTTCTTCATTTGATGGAGAAAGGAGTGATGCAAGTTCGACTTTAGGAGTAACAAAGACTAGAGATGCAGTGTCACATTCTAGGGAAACAGAAACAATTTATAATACATCAGGATCTAATTCTCTTCCTGTTGAAATGAATGGTGTTATTCTGCCTTGGTTGCAGTGGGAGACCGCTAATGATGGTTCCCCTCTTCCATCGAAGAATAAGAGAGAGCTTCCTGTGACTCCAAAAAATATCTTATGGGATGCGACTCAGGTAACCTTCAAACTGTCACGTAGTTGTAATATTTTAATTCATAAATTGCTGTTCTAACCTTTGTTGACTAAAAAGTTATTGCACAGAACATATTTTCATTTAGTTGTAAGTTGACTGCTTCACTGGCTTACAATAGTTTCATTTAGTTGTAAGTTGTTTGCTTCATTGGTTTATAAGAAATTAGTTGCCTTTTGTACCTGTGATAAGAATTATACAATATCAACTCTTCAGATTTTAAATTAAGGTTGATAAATTTTTAAACAAGATTTTTTTGGCTGAAATTTCAAGTTTAATAGAACTTTATATTTTATAGGTTGAAATTTGATAGCATGTAGAACATTGAAAAGGGAAAATAAATAGACTTTACAATTTTTTTTTTTTTTTTTTGATAAGTACAAATAAGAGAAACATATTAAAATGAAGAATTTTAGAAACATCTAGGACGGCCACCTAAAACATGTTTTTCCCAGTGAGCTCCACCTATGATCTTATCCTCTATCAGTTCATCATGCAATTTCTATGTTCCTTTAGACTAAGATTCTTTTTAGCCTAGTTGTTTCCCTTGTAGCAAATAGATAACTCAACTACAGAAGACTACAAGCCCAACAACGAAAAAGATGGGATGAAAACAAAACAAAAAAAAACCAAAAAAAACAAAATTTTAAACATCTAATCTAGTATTAGTTTCACAGTACGATAAATTAACAGATACTGCTAATCCCATCCTGGAGATATATAATTTTCTTCCTGAGCTATTTTGATTTGTAGTTCCATTTATTCATTTCCCAACACTACTCTTATTTGATTGAAAAAGCACACTTCAATACAATCTTATTTCACCATCTAACAAAAAAAAAATACAATCTTATTCATTTAAAAGCATGAAAAATATTCTGACTGAAACATTTTTAAGGAAATAACTACTTGATCAGCAAACAGTTTTAACTTCCCAGAATAGAGCAACAAACCACACATAACCTGATAGGACAACATTAAAGAATGATTGAAAGTATCAAAAAAAAAATTAAAGCAGGAAAAAAAAAACAAAAAAACTCCTCTCAATGGCATATATAGGTTTCGAAGAACAACCACCAAGGAAATCAAAAACAAAAATCAAGAATAAAATTCTTGAAAGTAAAGGAAACAAAAGGCAAATTCAATTTGAATCATGTTATGCCACAGAATTTAACTATAACTGATACGGAATGGAGCGAGATCAATCAATTAAACAAGTAAAATAAAATTAACAGTTAATTAAATACTATTGAATTTTCAGCAAATTTACCATGGATAATAAATAAGCTAATGGCTCGCAAAACAAAAATTCAAAAAGCAAAACCACAAATTCTTATATGAACAACAAAATTGAGATCTGATACAAACAATATAACAAAACTAGAAAGCTAAAAACAAATCTCAGTGATATATTTCTCTAGTTTCGATATCAATTCATACAAGAATCGACTACTTAATCCAAAAAAAAAAGGTTCTATTATCGGTTGAACAAACCCTAATACATCAAAGTTTCAACTACTAAACAAGCATTCATGAGTGGCGAACATATACATATATACTTGCAGTAAAGAAGCGAAGAAACGATGAGAGAGAAACAGAGAAAAGATTGGTACCGTGGAGAGAGAGAGAGAGAGTAGAGCTGAGAATGTTTAAGCAGAGAAAAGGATTTGGTTTTGGGTTATAAAAAGAGTTTAAAATTGAGTTTTGTGACGTGGTTTCCGTTTTGAAAATAATTTTTAAAATTTATAGTTTTGATCTGGTGTGTTTAGTTATGAATTTTAAAAAGGGTTTTAAAAAATTTTGATTGGAATTGTGATTTTGAGCTTTATGAGTTAGTTTTTTTGATTTTTTAGTTATTTTAAGGTTTCGTTTGAGAACAGGATTTTTTAGTAATTTTTAAATTTTTTTATTAAAATATGATGTAAAAAAATTAAATATGTTTGGGATGACTTTTTAATTTTTTACAAAAAAAATGTGTAAAAAGTAAAAGAAAATGGAATTTTTGACTTTTTTGTATAGGTTATTGACTTTTGATTTTTTTAGTGATTTTTAAACTTTTACACTAAAAAGTGATGTTGGCAAACGAGCTAAAAAGTCTCATTTGAAATAGATTTTTTTAATTTTTTAATTTTATAAAAAAAAATGAAATGATTATAGATTAAATATAACATTTTCTCTTATTTAACTAAAATAATTTATTTTATTTTATATGATTATTTTAACTCCAAAGGCATGCCAAACGAACCATTTAAAAGATAACTAAACATGGCCTTTATACTGTGTAAAGAGAGAGAGAGCTGTGAATGTTTAAGCAGAGGTTGCGATACCAGATAGTTATCAAAATCGTAATCTGAATGTCCTACTTACTTGCGGTACTATACCGTACTGGATTATCATAACCAATATTATAGGGTTTTATATATTCTCTCTGTAGAATCCCAAATAAATCGCACCTTCAATTAGAGGAATTACAACACAACCAATGCTCGGTTTGTTTAAGCAAAGGTTGCGCTAACAGATAATTATCAATATCGCTATCTCAATATCCTACTTACTTATGGTACTGTATCGTATTGGATTATCCTAACCAATATTATGGGATTTATATATTCTCTCGGTAGAATCCCAAATAAATCGCACCTCTAATTAGAGGAATCACAACACAACCAATGCTCCATTTGATTTAGATTTTTTTAGGCACCTGTTTTTTAGTTGATACGGATAAGTTATAAATAATTTTAAAAAAAAAAGTTTGTTTTGACAAAAAGGACCACATTTTCACTAAAAAAATATTTAGGACAATTATAAAAAAAAATAAAAATAAAAAGATTAATGCTTGGTAGCCCAAAAAAGAAAGAGCTTGAATGGCCCGAATGAGTGTTCACCGGACGTTCACTCGGACGATTGACCGGACACCCACCTGGATGGTCGGGTGAAAACTTGTCTTCTGCAGTTGTTGCCTTTGTCTACCGCGGCTGTCAACCTTCTCACCGAACGACCGGCTGGACGTTTGCTCAGACGACCGGTAAGATGAATTTCGAACCATTTGAGCCAACCTCATTTTCAGGCTACCAAGCATTGCTCAAATAAAAAATAATCCTTTGAGACTTATAATAAAATAAATATTAAATTTTTTATTTTGTCAATTTAAATTACAATCTTTTGATTTGCTTTCAATATACAAAAAAAAGAGTATTTTTGTTATTAAATTCAATGTAAGTGTACATAAAATATCTAAAATATTTGTTTCATTGAGTTTAATAACTAAAATATACATATATATATATATATTGTTAATTTTACTTATAGACAAATAATTTAAATTGAAAATAAATCAAAAATTTGGAGTCAAATTTTTTTAAACATTTATTGCGTAAACTTTTAGAATAATGATAAGATTTAAACATCTATGTTGGCATTAACTTTTAGATTAAGTTGAGACTAGTTGGACATTTTTCAATTTTAAATCTGAACTTCAAAGAATTTGATATTTTCAAAAATGTATTTGTTATCTATTTTCTTGAATACAAACGTGTTGAATGGACTTAATTTTTGAGATTTAGATAAAACATAAATATAACGAATAATTTTTAAGAGTTTTATACCATAACAATCCCGTGACTTTGTTCCTAATAGTCATAACATTATTAAAAAGGAAGAGGATCCTCTATTTTAGATTTTGGATTGGAGTGTTATTTGGGTTATGGGCCGTTATAATGATTTAAATCGTTCAAACATTTTGTATATTTTAAAAAAAATTAAATTAATTTGATAATTGTAACTTGTTTAATTTTTTATTAAAAATAAAAAATAATTGTATTTTTAAAAATAAGCCATACATTTTTTTTAGTGACAAATGTAATAAATTAAACAAATAACAATTATTAGATCGATCTAATTTTTTTGAATGAAATACGCAAAGTATTTAACAAAATAAACGATTCAAATTATCAAAATGAAATCTGTAGTGAACCTTATAGGTCCAAACAAATGGATGAAATTGTGAATTTTTTTCATTCAACAAGGTTGTTTGGAAAGTTGCCTTTTTGCCCGCTCTTTTTTTTTTTTTGGGTTAAAAAACTTATAAAAAAACACTAACAACATTTAAAATTTTAAAAATCATTAAAAAATAAGTTATACATTTCACGTTTTTTATACAATTTTAAAAAAATTATTCCCAAATAAATTAATCTTTTACACCTCATAAAAAATATCAAAAAATTAAAAAGTCAAATTTCAAACCACACCCTAATATAGCATTAATATTTGTCTAATTTGTCTTGCTATTCTACACTTTTATTTATTTATTTATTTTTTTTTTTTTTTTTTGGTTGGTTCAAAATTCTACACTTCTTAGCTTTGGTGCGAAAAGTATAAGAATGCCCGTGTGAAAGAGATATACTCTAGCTAGTAGGGGTGTTCGTGATTTGATTGCGATTGGAAAACTTTCAATCTATCATTTGTTTGTTGGATTAACGGATTAGAAAAAATCAATCCACATTTATCTATTGGATCGGATACAGATTGAGCATATTGGTAATGCGAATCAATTTGACAGTTTAAATTTTTATAAATTTTGAACATAATACAATAACTTGTCAACATTTTTTGGATAACAATCCAACTCAATATAACCAAAAGATTATCAAGTAAATTATTAAATACCAATAATAAATATATGAGAAAATCATGCATTATCAAAACTATTTCATTACTTTTTTTTTAATTCAAAAACTATTTAATTTGATTTTTTTAAAAAATGACAAAATTAAACCTTATATTTTCCACACAAAAATACCAAATATTAACACTTGTCATTTGATAAAAAGATTCCAAATTAAAAACAAATTGAAAACACAATAGAATATCTAAACTCTTTTTCAATTGAAAATACAAAGAGAATGTAAACAAATTGAAAATATAAAATCTTCCAAATTATTAGAGGTGCTTATAGTTTGGTGGCTTGGTTGTAGTCAAAAAAATCTCAAATCCGTCATTCGTCCAAAATTAGGTGGATTAAAAAAAATCAATCCACAACCGATACCGTCCGCTTGTCATCACATATCCATCTAAAATGCGACGAATCGATTCGAGTTCGATTTAGTTGATTTGAAGGTATCAAAATATTCGCTGAGCACCCTTAGTAAGTCCCATTGCACTAATTTTATATTATTTTTTTTTAAATGCCCCATACGTGGAATTATTTGGAGTGTGACAACTTTTTAAAAACAAGAATAGTTTCAGAAAGTGATCAAAATAAAATGCGTAAACTAAATTTATTGTAATTAAAACTCACCCCATATTAAATGTGAATCTATATATCATATGACTAACAAAACATTAAAAAGCACATTTGTTCTGAAAAGCAAACTTTAAATACCTTTATTACGAATAAAACCTTGAGTTGGTACGAAAATCAGCAAAATAAATTTAACTATATATTGACTATAGTAGATATGGTACTCATTTTGAATTAGTACAAATTTATCAATCAGTCAAGCAAGGGACACTGGGCAAAACTGGACCATTTTTCCTTCCAGCAACATTTTGACATAACGACGTCGTTTCTTTACACAGTTGAGTCGATTGAAGGTAGATGTCATTCATATATATATCTTTGCATGGAACTGTTTCACTGCATGCAAAGTGTATCGCTGTATCTTCCTCCGACGTCCCGTAAATATAACTGTATCTGATATTGCTAATTTGCACGGCTGATTTCTGTGAAAGTTGATTAAATTAATCACAATGTTAAGTTAGATTAATGTATTGTGAAAAGATCAAAAAATTACTATTTTTGAGTACAAAACTAAAAAATCCAAGTAAAAAAAGAGTCATAGTCATAGAGTAAGAAATGCTCACTTGATTTTTGCAATGTGTATGGTCACAATAGTATTGATCGATGATGATGGGATGAGCTGAACCAATGGATCTTATATGCTCAAACACAATGTTCCTAGCAAATCCGCTCCCTCCCTAAGCATGCCAAAGGGACAATATAATTAACAACAAAATTAACAAGAAGAATAGTTATTTATCAGAATAATATAACAATGACATTATTGATATTAATAGGCATTGAGTTTTTTTTGGTATTAAAGTGATAAGCTTACAAATTTGCCTTATATATTATATTCTTGATATCATGACTAATAATCATATGTTCACAAATTACCTGCCATGTCTTGATTCTTGCTCCATTTGAAGTTCCTCTGAATTCCACATTGCTTACATAGACATTCTCTACTGTCTCATATTGCCCTCTTATACCCAAACTTCCAATACTTTTACCAAAGAAGAATTTAAAAATAAATGAAATCAATTTCAAAACAATAATAACAATAACAAAAGAGAGAGGGAACTGTAAAAAGGTTTTCCCTGTTACCTTATGCCATGACCTGGACCACATGTGATCATGCTAATGTTGAGATATGATGAACCATCTCCGATGGAAATACAATCATCACCTGTATTAATATTTTTGAGTTAAATTTTGATAAACAACCAAATTAAAATATACATATGTATAGTGCCATGCATCGACTTTCAGTTCCAAATCTTCATGTTCACTTGGATCATAGCAAAATGCTTCCAATGATAGAATTATGTAGGAATCTGAAAACAGAAGATCTTGCACAATATACAAAGCATGCTGTATACATACGCAAATTTTTTTTTTTTTTGTCACACGATATAAAATTAAGAGAGATAGTATTATTATGTTTGATAATATACCAGTCCCAATGTGAGTTTGGCTTATGAAGACGTGTGTGGAATGTTGAATGTGAATGCCATCAGTATTTGGGCTATCGCCAGGGGCAGTGATAGTGAGATTATAAACATATACCCATATCGACCTTTCCAACGCCATGTGCATTTGAGGGCTGTCTATAAAGGTTAGGTCACTTATGTGCACATTGTTGGAATGTGCTATTACGAACCCCTGTAAAAACATGAAATATTATGTAGTACTTACAATGTAAACATAGGAACAAAACAATTTAAAAACAAAGAATCTAGTGTCACTCACCGTTGGTTTTGACCCATGGTACTGAAAAGAAGAAAAGAAACTTATATTAGTAAAGCCCAAAAAAAAAAAGGATTTAATATTTAAAGGTTGTTTGGGATGATCTAAATAAGTGTATTTTTTTGTCTTTTTACGAAAAGATGTGCAGAAAAGTAGAGAGGTGATGTGATGAAAAAAAGATGAAAAAGATGAATTATATAGAGGATGCCAAACCACCCCTTATTTTGTACAACAAATTTAAATTAAAATGGTGTGACAGTGATAATTATTTTAAAAATAATTAAATGAAGTGAAAGATGAGGCTTCTTGCCTTTCCATTGTGATTGACATTGGAGGAACCCCACCATTTGGTACCCTGGGCATTAATAGTACCAGAGCCATAAATGTAGAGACCATTGATCTCAACAAAGCCTATCCATTGACGGCAATTACTTCCGTCGCACTTCCATTTTGAAGGATGACTTGGTGCTGTTAGGTTTCCATCTATCTATAATAAACCATATCAATTTAACAATTCAATAACAATATATTAAAAAATAAATAAATAAGAGAAAAATGAAAATATTGAAATCTATGATAGGGTAACTTATTTCTAGTTGAAAGAAAGATTGTACCGTGTTATTGGGCCAGCATAAGCCCACAATATCAAAGTAAATATTTCAAATTATTTGTAGTAATGATTCTAGTTGTACAAAAATTTTAATAAAATATTTGAGACCCAAAAAATAATTTGACCTATAATGATGACATATGATATAAGAAAATTTATGAATCTAAAATTGTAATTACCACAACGTTAACGGCTTCGGAATTGCAAGGGCCACTAAAGATTAGAGGTTGTAGCAAGAACTCGTAGCCATCAGGAACGTGCATGGTTGGACTAAAACCTGAAACTTCCCTTGCCGAGCACGTAGCCTTCCATGCATCCTCAAAAGACTGCGCACAAAACTAAGCTTATAAGCATCTTTTTTCTTTTCTTTTTTTTTTTTATAATTATTATTAATAATATAATAACAATGTTAAAAGACTGCGCACAAAACTAAGCTTATAAGCATCTTTTTTCTTTTCTTTTTTTTTTTATAATTATTATTAATAATATAATAACAATGTTATCGACTTAAAAAATTAATCTAAAAAAAAAGTCTAGTGTAATTTAGATTAAGTGTAGATCTCATTGTACAAAAGTTAAATCAAAACACTTTGCTTTTTGAGATAAATTTCTTAACATATTTTTTGAGTTATTATCTTTTCTGATAATACCCTAGGAATCCAACTTGTTTTTCCTTACAATCATCAATTCTTCAATAATCTATATATATTTGATATGAATTTAATCTAGGGAAAATTATTGAAAAATCCCTTTTGGGAGAGATTTGGACCGATGGATCCTTATTTATTTTTCTTACTCTTGGAAGTATCATTTATTTGGTAATGTTCACCAAAAGATCCCATTTGTGTTATTTGGGAGGGGATTTTGTGTCATTTTCCCCTTGTTTCTTATGGGTAATGTTTTTTTACAGTTATGAGAATTTCAGTGATTACATTTTCGATATGGAAATGACGACCGGTGGGGATGATCTTCTGTGTAGGTATTTGAAGGCATAGTGTTGCGTTATAACGTGACAACACCAAAATTATTGGAAAATCACATTCCGAATGCTACACTACAAAATTACATTCCAACTGAGCCACCCAAATCATCAACGTAACATTCAATCAACATAAGCTTCAACCTAAAAACAAACACAGAACACACAGCAATGGACAACACATCAACATTAACACAATGTTAAATACACTTCGTTATACACTTGGGGTTTATCAAATCACCAGCTCGCTCGATGGCCGACTTCTCACACCCATTTCATATGCCACACACCTAATACAGTGTTTGGGTTTTTTCCTAAAATGGTTGTTGATTTGATGGGATGTGGGGTATTTTCTTAACAGTGTGGGATCTGATGCCGCTCACATCGCAATTCACCACAAACATGAAAAACCTGCGAACACGATTAATAGAATTTTCAGACCAAATCGGATATGGATCAATACGAAATACACTAAACCCCACGGATTTGGTTTCCAAAAAATGATAAATATTATACGTTGACAGACTTGAGCCACACCGAAGAAACGGTGATTACTCGAACCCTCTACCAGCTGCCAATGAAATTATACGGTGTGGATTGTGTTACCATACAAACAATGACAAATACGAAAGGCCTGACCCAAATGAAAATGGACGACCGCCTTGCTAACAGGGGAACGTTTTGGACGCACAACAAACAGAGGTGGTGATATGGTAGGCCCAAAGCAACGTAACAAACTAAAAAGGACTATAGTACATTTGCAATCTTTCATATATCAACATTTATATCAAAACATTACCATTAATAACATACATTATGGGCAAAAACGTAAACCAACACTAAATAGGACTTACATTATAAAACAATTAGAACTGCAGGGTTCACAAGTCATCCATATGGAATTTATTGATCAATTACCCTTTAATCTAACCAATTAGATAAAAAATTTTACGTGACAGTGTAAATTTTATGTAATACTATAAATATATATAAACATAAGTTTAATTGATAATAATTTGAAGTGGTCCATGATATTTGGAAAACAATATAACAATACAAACAAATAAGCTTTTACATAAAATAAAATTAAATAATGTAATGGTGCAATGCATATGCATTCATCTGTACTGTACTTTTCTGTGATTTTTTTTTTTCTTCACTGAGAGAAGAAAAAAAAAATTGTGAAACTGAACTAAAGAGAAGTGAAGTGCCAAAACAAATCCATAAAAAAAGGAGTTTTCAAACAACAATAATAATGTTATTAAAAAAAATTAAAAATCGAAAATATTTTTGACCTGGGTGTCATCAGTAGATCCATCTCCAACCGCTCCAAAATCTAATACATTAAAAGTTTGATTGTGACACTCTACTGATATTCCAGAAACAAGGAAGAAAACAATACAGAAGAGTAGCACACAGTTCTTCTTCATGGTTGGAGAGAGAGAGAGAGAGAGAGAGAGAGAGTAATGATGAGTGAGAATGAAATTATTAGAGAATCCAAATACATATATAGTTCAAGAAGGAATGGGACAGGATTGATTTGATATATGAGAATCACAATCCAAAGTGAATTGTGTCTCCTATTTAAACTGAAATTAGTCTTTTATTATTATCCACTAGTATGTGATTTGTATAATGTATGAAATTTATTTTTAAAATGAAAATTTAATTTTAAGTCTTAATACTCTATGTGTAACAAATATTAACAATCTAGTGGTTGATACAAAAATTTATCACTGTATGTGATCCTATGTAAAATACGCTCATAAAAATAATTTCTTTTAAAGTTAAAAAAAAGGGGGATATATTCTCAACCTGAAATCAAATATCATCATTTTCAATGAATCATGATTCTTTAAAATAATACTCACACTATTTATCATTTGACATTTATTAATTTATCTTTTAAAAATTTAACAAAAAAAGTATTGAGTTCCATTATTTTAATCAATCAGTATCAAATTAGATGCTACACGTGTAGGTAAATCACTTATAGAAATATGATGTCTCACATAAAATCACAATGAAATTAACTTTAATTAATGTAATGATATTTTATATTATGATATGTGTTACAAAAGAATAATTTTAATTTTAATTTAAAATAAAATTATAATTTTAATTATTAATTTTAATAATCTTAACTTTATCGTTTTATAAAAGTGTTACTTGAATACTTATATATAATAAATTTAGTTAAATTATTTGTTTATTTTGATAATTTTAGTTCTATGGTGTTATAAAAGTGTAATATTATGTAATGATTTTATATGATATATATTAAATTATAAGATAATAAAATAAACACTCATTTTGATATTAAAAATAATAGTTAAATTAGAAGAAAAAAATTAGTAATATAAAACTAAAAGTGATTCTAATTATTTATTTATTTTATATTTATTTGGCAAATAAAAATAAGTGGAAATAGAATTACACAAAATTTATTTAAAAGATTAAATATAAATATGTTGTGATTGGATTAAGAAGAAAATACATAAATTAATTATGTACAATATTGATTTTTTCTTTAATTTCTTTTGGCATTATTTATACATATTGTAAATATGTATATAAAATTTAAATAAAATATAAATATTTTGTAATAAATAATTTCATGTTAAATAATAAATTAAATATAAATTAATATTAAGACATTATTAAGATAGGAAAAAATATAAAATATAAAAGAAAGTTAATTTGATATGTGCGATGCATATAATTAAGCACATTTTGTCTTATTTTTTTATTTGTATATTGAGATATTTTTTTTCCAATATCATAATAATTAAATTAAAATATCAACTATATAAAAAAATTTGACAACGACAAACCTAAATACATGGTGAAAATAAGCATTTCTCAAATAAAATCTATATAAAATTGGTTATTATAATTAAAATTAAATTTGTATAGAATTTTATATGTAAATGGAAAATGCATGTTGATGTGATTTTTTTTTAATTTTAAAGTAAGCCTTTAAAATGTGCTGCATAAGAAAAGAAAAATACTACTAATATATATACTAACAGTTGACCTGTGCAATATACGTGCAATTTTTTTTAAAAAAAAATATTTGATGTACAATGTATGTTATAGAAGAATAATTTTAATTTAAAATTAAAATTAAAGTATTATTTTAATTATTTATTTTGATAATATTGGCACTATCATTCTATAAATTGTTACTTGAATACTTATATATATTAAATTTAGTTAAATTATTTAAGTATTTTGATTATTTTAGTTGTATTATATATTAAATTTAGTTAAATTATTTAAGTATTTTGATTATTTTAGTTGTATCGTATTATAAAAATATAATTATCATATAATAATTTTGAATGATATATATTAAATTATAAAATTGTAAATTAAATATTTGTTTTGATATTAAAAATAATAGTTAAATTATAAGAAGAATTAGTAACATAAAATTAAAAGTAATTCTAACTATTTAATTTTCTTTATATTCATTCAGAAATAAAAATATGTAGAAATAGATATATATTTAATTTTCTTTTATGTTGTGGTTGGATTATCATATATTAATTTATAAGATTGTGAAATAAACATTCTTAATTAAATTAAAATATTAACTATATAAAAGAAATTCAACAACGACTAACTAAGGAAGAATCACGTAACAACATTTAAACGAAAAAAAAAATAAAATAATAAAAACATCCAAAACGATAAATATATCTCAGTACGTGAATTGATTAATCATCTGAGATATGATATCAAAACATAAAAGAATTTACTATTCAACAATTTAAAAAAGTAACTCAAGCAATAAATCCAAATTTTAGAAGTTCATCGAGAGTATCATTGTTATATAGGTTTTTCCTCCTACGAATTATGATTATATAAAATAATGTAGGAAATGAAGCATAATTTCATCCTTAGAATCACTCTATAATTTAAATGATAAATCCATAATATAGAATAATTTTGATATTGGGTATAAAATAATGCACGAAAAAATAAGAGAGAAAAAAAAAAGAAAAAGAAGAAGACAATTTAGCATTAAAAAGAAAATTCTAATACCCTTGAAAGAATTAAGAAGAAAAAAATATATATGGAAAAGAAATATTTGTCAAATAGAGTCCATATAAAATAGTAAAGTTAGTATTATTTAAATTAAGTTTGGGTTTTTATAGAACTCTACATCTAATTAAGAAAATACATATTGACGTGGCTCTCTTAGAAAAAAAGTAAACCCTTATAATGTGCATGAAAAAAATATTAATTTTAATAATATGGTAACAATTGACCCGTGCAATACACATACTATATTTTGTTTTCGATGATGGTATAATGTGCGTTATAAAATAATAATTTTGAATTTAATTTTAATTTAAAATTAAAATTAAAGTATGATTTTAATTATTTATTTCATTTTATAAAATTGTTACTTGAATACATACATATATATATATATATATATACATTTTAATTTTAGTTAAATTATTTGTGTATTTTGATAATTTTAGTTCTATCATATTATAAAAGTGTAATTATCACATAATAATTTTGTTTGATATATATTAAATTATAAGATAGTAAAATAAATACTCATTTTGATATTAAAAATAATAGTACTTAAATTAAAAAAAGAATTAGTAATATAAAATTAAAAGTAATTCTAACTATTTAATTTCATTTCATATTCATTTGGAAAGTAAAAATATGTAGAAATAAAAGTTATACAATTTTTTTTAAAAAAAAAATAAATATAAATATGTTGCAATTGAATTAAGCAAAAAAATACATGGATTAATTTTGTAGAGTATTGATTTTTTTTTAATAGTCTTTTCGAATTATTCATATGTATTATAGAGAAAATGTCAAAGAAGAGTGATCCAAAAAGTCACTTTTCGGACTGATATAAAAGTCACCCCACTCAAGCGTGGAACTCCCCGCTCGAGCGTCAGACACAGACTCACGCTCGAGCGTGAAAAGCGCCGCTTGAGCGTCGATTGCACACTTCCAGAAGTTTTGCAGAAC